GGACGCGATATCAGAGATGACAAACTCCTTGTGACCCTCAATGATGATGGGAGAGGGGCGAGGGTAAGGTCGACCGTGGAACTCGGGAGGAGACCGTCTGAAGGGGCGCAAAAGAGATACATGGAACACGTCATGTAATTGAGCGCGGTACATGGAATAGGGGAACTTCAATTTGAAGCTCACCGGACAGTCATGATTGGGTCCGACGGGTGCAAGAAGGGTGCATGGTCTGATATATCGACGTCTGAATTTCCGAAGCGTGTCAGCTTCGGGCTGGAAGTGACGTGCGTCGACAAGAACCTTGTCTCCAACTTTGAAGGGATGGTCGATGCGAGAGCGGTTAGCGCGAGTGGCCATGCGAGCCTGGGAGTCAGCAATGCTCTCGCAAGCCTTGCTAAGAAGCGCATCCATCTCCTTTATCCAGTCATCGAGGGCAAGGCATTTGGTGTCCGGATGGATCTGAGATGGACGGAGAAGGTCAGATGGGACACGAGGATGGTATCCCAAGTCACGGTAGTAGGGAGACATGCCAGTGGCAAGTGAAATAGCATGGTTATAAGCAATCCCTGCGTGAGCAAGGTGGAGATCCCAATCAGTCATTCTCAACAAACTTCTTGAGGATACTCCCAAGAGTTTTGTTGGTGACCTCAGTCTGTCCATCTGACTGGGGGTGATAGGAGGAGGAGAGGCGGAGCTCGAAGCCATAGATCTCATGGAGTCCACGCCAGAAATGAGAAGTGAAGCGGGGATCGCGATCAGAGACGATGCTAGTAGGGAGACCGTGATGAATGGCAATATGGTTGAAGTATAGGGAGGTGATGTCTTTGGCTGAACTAGCATACTTGCAAGGGAGGAAGTGAGCATGCTTAGTCAACCGACAGACAACGACGAAGATGGCGTCGTGGCCTCGTGGGGTAGGGGGACGAAGAGGACCGATGAAGTCCATGGAGACAGAAGTCCAACGCTGAGTGGGAATGGGTAAGGGCTAAAGAAGACCGTAGGGGGGGGTGGTTGGGAATGTTGGCCTCCTGGCAGATCCTGCAGGTGCGGACGTACTCCATAGTGAAGGGACGACGGTGCTCCCAGTAGTAATGGCAGTAAAGGCGGTCAAGTGTCTTGAAGACAGCGAGATGACCGGCGGCGCGCTGGTCGTGACACTCAGCGACGGCCCGAACGCGGAGCTGGCCAGTAGAGGGCACACATAAGCGAGGAGTACAGGTACCTTGGCAACCAACCCAGTATAGGAGTCCAGAGGGATCGAGCTGGAAGTTAGGGACAGACTTGCCAGCCTGTAGGTCAGTGTATATGGACTGAAACTCAGGGCACTAGTTGTATGAGCGGCGGTACTCATCTAGAAAGGCGGGGTGGATGGTGGGAGCTGAAATCGCAGATAGTTGACGATCTTCGCACTGAAGGTCGGGGCGGCGGGATAAGGCATCTGCAACGCGATTGCTTTCGCTGGAAATCTTCTTGATGGTGAAATTGAACTCGGAGAGGTCACGCCACCAACGAGCCTGGCGAGAAGTGAGCTTAGGCTTCGTCTGGAAGGCGGCGAGGGCAGAGTTGTCCGTCAAAACGGTGAAAGTGTGACCGTGCAAGTGATAACGCCACTTCTTAACAGCGTAGACCAGCGCAAGGACCTCACGCTCGTAGGCAGTATAGTTACGCTTAGCGGGAAGTAGTTGTCGAGATAGATAAGCAACCGGACACTCTCCATCAAGAGATTCGATTGTACCGTCATCAGCGATGTCAGGAATATAATGGGGTGGGCCGCCTGAGGGGGTGGGCTCGATGGGTGCAAGATGAGTCGCAGTCGCTGGAGGTGGAGGAGGGAAGCGAGGAATGCGAGGGAGGCGGGACTCTGTGGAATCGGGAGAAGTAGAAGGGGCTGGGTAGATCTCGGAGAAAACAACTCCAATAGCAAAGTCCGACTCGTCGGTGGTGACGATGAATGAACGTGAGTAGTTGCGTAAGTGTAAAATAGGAGCTGACATGACAAGTCGCTTGAGAGAGCAGAAGGCATCCTCGTGAGTCGGGGTCCAATGAAAAGGGAGACGTATGCGGGTCAGAGGGGTAAGCTGGGAAAAATACTGCGCATAGTTTTTTAGAAAAGGACCATAGTAGTTGGTCAAACCAAGAAAACTACGCAGGGCAGGGAGAGCGATGGCCTGGATCTTGGAGTCGTCCATGTGGAGGCCGTGCTCGGATACCTGATGCCCGAGGAAGTCGACTTTAGGTTGAGCAAAGCTGCATTTGGAAAGCTTCGCATAGAACCCGTGGTCGCGTAGTCGCTGCAGGACAGTGCGAAGATGGGTCAGGTGATCCTCTAGGGTACGACTGTAGATCAGGATGTCATCAATGTAGACTAGAACAGAGTCCTCAAGAAGGTCTTGGAACATTGTGTTGATAGCCGTCTGGAAAGTGGCGGGGGCGTTACGGAGACCGAAAGGCATGACGGTAAACTCGTAGTGCCCAAAACGAGAACGAAAAGTGGTCTTGGGCTGGTCCTCCTCAGCTACGTGGATCTGGTGATATCCACTACGAAGATCGATCTTCGTGAAGAAATGGTGGTCAGCGAGGCGGTCAAACAGATCATCCGCGCGAGGCATGGGATAACTGTTTTTGACCGTGTAGTGGTTGAGACCGTGGTAGTCAATACAGAGATGAAGGGTGTCGTCCTTCTTGCGATCGAAGAGGACCGGGGCACTCCATGGGGAAGTACTCGGTTTAATGAAGCCCTGACCAAGCAGCTCCTCACGTTGGCGCTTGAGTTCCTGGGCTTCGGGAACGGAAAGGCGATATGGGGCGCGATTTTGAATGCGATAGTTGGGCTCGAGCTGGATGTGGTGCTCAATATCGCGCATGGGAGGAATACTGTTGTAGGAGACGGATGGTGGGAAAACATCGTGATACTCGCAAAGGAGGGCACCAACACTAAGCGGCAGGGAAGAAAGAAGGGTGTCAAATTCCTTGGCAGCGGCGGCGTCTGAAGCAGAGGTGGAGGGAGTCTGTGTGGAGGTGGGGACTGAGGGTGTATCCGTGGTAAGGGAAGCGAGGAGGTGAGATGGGCTAGCAGGGGTAGGGAAGGGTAAGGAAGTTGAGGAATCAGGAGGGTCAGGGGGCTCGGGAGGTGGTGGATCGAGCTCAACCAACTCAACGTCCTGATGCATGGAGTTGCAGGTGAGGAGATCCGTGATGTCGACAACATAAAGTTCTACATCAGGCTGATGAAGGAAGTGGTGGAACTAGGTAGGTGTACAGATGGTGACATTAACAGGGGGGGAAAGTGTAGAGTCCGATTTGCCCAACAACGGAATACGGTATTGCTTCCCGTCCTTGGTGTCGAGGACGAGATCGTTGTGGGTCCAGTCGGGGCCGGCATGGGCGAACTGATGGGAGTAGGCAGTGTTGAGAACAAGATCGTATAGGGTTTCCATGACGTCGAAGGTCCACTGGTCATGGAACCGAGGGGCCTTGCGAAGGCTGTGGGTCATCCGCAAGGGGAAGGAGGATGGAAGATCAGGCACCACACAGTCGACAAAGGATTTGGCCTGATTGTCGTCAAGCGTAACAGTGACAGTGGAAGGGTAGGGGGACGTGTAGAGAGATGCCTCCTTAACTATGCGAGGATGAATGAAGTCGCCAGTAGAGCCAAAGTCCCATAGTGCGCGATACACTCTAGTACAGGTCCCGAGGCACACCGGAATAATCGGTAAGGTGCGATCGGGATTGTGTAGGCGCTGAGACATCGCGGATAGGGTGCGCTCTTTAAGACGGATACGTTCCTGACGGACCTTAACACACTCGAGGTCCAGGAAGTCGATGATATCCTCAGCTGCAATAAGGGAAGCACTGTAGCGGGTCGTGCGAAGAGCACTCCTGGTAGGAGGACGTGGAGGAGGGGGGTCACGAGAGACGCTAGGCGAAGAAGGAGAAGGTATACCAATGTCGGTAGTGTCAACTAAAGATAAGGTCGGGCCAAAGTCGTCGGGAAGAATAGCAAGCGGCGCAAAGGTAGAGTTGCGAACGGGTATGCTTGCTACCATAGGAGGGTCTGGGGAATGAGACATCACGGCTACATGGGTGTTGCGCTGGAGGTCAGGGAGAACAGCCTGAGGGTGAGCCTGCTGTGCGAAGTGACTCTGGAGGGCGTCTGCGTATGGGCACGTAGAGGAGGTATGGTCAGCGCGGCGGCAGCGGGTGCAGATGCCTCGTGTACGAAGGTCCTCACTCTCAGCGATGGTCAAGCGGCTGCGAGGGAACACAAAGCCTGTTGGGAGGGGTAGTTGAGGGACTGTAGAGCGAGTCCTGGTGGATGAGGGCTGACGACGGAGGAGGGCGGAAAGGGCCCGGACGAGGCGGTCGTCTTGGGAAGAGGCGTCGTCCTCTGCGGGGGACTGAGGGTCGGGTCCCTGGTCTGGGTCACTCGCAGAACCATCTGAGGCGGTGCCATCATCAACGCTCGCCGGATCATGCAAGCGGCGAGAGAGAGGGATCGTCCAAAGCCTCTACGAGGGCCATGACGGTATGTGGAAGACTGTCGAGGCTGGGAGGGGCGAGGGCGTACAGTAGTAGCAGAATGGGCAGCGGCGGGTTGAGGCGAGGGGCCGACGAGTGGAGCATAAGTGAGATGAATGGCCCTAGCAATGTTGAAAGCCTCTAGTAAGGTGCGGATCGAATACGCCATCATCTGCAACTGGAATGGCTATGGTAGACCTGCGCGGAATAGCTGGATCATGGTGTCCTCGGGTATGGTTGTGATGGGAATCTGGGCGCGTACACGGTGGAATGTCGTGATGTATGACTCTAAGGCATTGTCGCCACCAAGCCATCTGATCTCAGCCACACGAGTAATCGGGTCGCGGGTTGGCGCAAGGCGAGAAAGTATTGTTGAAGGAAGTCGCGAAACTCATGATAAGACATACCCTCATGTATGTCGTGCTGTGAGCGAAGGGCAAGGAAGTCACGCCAGGTGGAAACTGCACGACCTGTGAAACGAGAGGACATCTCGACGGGCCACAGTTCCATGGCGACACCATGGTAGCGAAGCTGCTCCTCAGCAGTAGAGATCCATCCTTGGAGCTCGGAGGCCCTGCCGTCAAACTGCGGGAGGCGATCCGGTCGGCATTGTGGAACATACATCGGCGGCTGATAATGGGTAGGGAGAGGAATAGCTGACTGTGACAAGAGGACAAAGGACGTAGTGGCACCAGCAAGAGAACTAGAAAGAGCAGGGAGTCGGGGCAAAGGTCCGTGACACATCGAGGTGGTCGGTGGTGGAAGAGTGAAATGAATCGCAGCGGTCTGTATCTGATGCTGTCGATAGATGAAAGGGGCAACAGGTTGTGTCGCAAGGTGGGGAGGCAGGGGTTGACCTCCTTGGAGCTGGCGGATGTGATCATGGGCCAGGGCGAGCTG